TATGTGAGTTGCCAAGGCCTTGTCAGAGAAAGGGCTGTACAAATACGCACTTTGCCTTCCTGCCCTCTCGCCTCCTGCTTTACCCCCAAACCAGGTAGATTTGCAGGAATGCTCTGGCCGTCTGCCCTGGAGCTGCACCCCTCTGGGTGGGGCCCAGGCAGGCTGGCTGCAGGGCTCTGACTCTGAAATGCGCTTCCTCCTAGAGGTGCCAAGGCCTAATCTTTGTGGATTCTAAACACAATGGCTTTTTTGCTACCAGGGAATTTATTATTCATGATTGAGAGGTAAAAAAGGGGGTTTTAAATTTGTAGACAACTGAGATGCAAGGGGAGTAGTCGCTAAGTTAGACTGAATTACTTAAGAAATAAAAGAATGTCTCCTACAGTAACAAATCATGTACAGATCAATGTTATAAACTAACAAAAAACAAAGGCCTCCTACCACAATTTGGTTTTTATTATATATAAATGTTAAATGAGGTGAGAATTTATGCCTATAACTCCTGAAACTGTAATTCTAAAATGTTGTTTTAGGGAAAATATCAGCAGAACTAAATCTATGAAAATTAATAGCTGGCCTGTTTAGAGCTAAAAAAAAAAAAAAAATCTATCTTCTATCTAAACCGTAACTCCATTTTTGCCAAATACAATACAATCGAATTAACTTTTTCTATGTCTCAATATCAGCATTCCACCACTTTGTCAAAATTTTTAAATGAAAATTTAAGTAACTGTGGCAGCATCATTTAGTAAAGTAGTATTTTTGTTCCCTCTGGTCAGTAAAAAATAATTTTTTAAAAAACAGGAGCTACTGTTCCTTTCCTGCCCAGCCACCCATGAATGAGTCTCAGGAATAGGGAGCTTCTAAGGAAGGAGGCTGTCGGAGCTGGGAGCGTGGGAGGAAGAAGGGACAGGGCTGAAAGAACTGCCTATAGGGGCAGAGAAGGAAACAGAGGCCAGAGGGCTACAGCGACCTAGGGACCCACAGGCCACTCCCTCAAGCATCCCTCCCTTCCCTCAGGCAGCGGAACCTTCAAGGGGGCCTAGCAGTGCCCTTGGTCGTAGGCAGGCTTGACGCTAAGCACAGCGGGCTCTCAGGCCCACCAGGGACCCCTCCCTCTCACACACATCCCAGCCCAGCTTCACACAAAACTGCCCACCCTCTTGGGGCCTGGAGGGCTGGAACAAGGAGTGCAGGAGAGACTAATGTAGGTGAAGACAAGAGGACCCTCTTCAAATACTCTGCTCTGAATCTGAACCCCACCATGACCTTAGGAGTAGGGCATGGGTGAGACTGGGTCACCACCAGCTGGGTTCAACTGAGGCTCAAAGCTGAGTACATTTGAATTAGAGGAAAAAGAAAATACCAGATTTGAAAAAGCAGAACAACATTAATCCCAGCCTCAACCACATCCTCCCTGTGTGTGTGACAGCAACTGTAACACCTCATCATTGGCATTTGCCAAGTGGTCCTTCCCGACCCAGGACAGTCACACTGTCCAAGAGAGGGTCACCTCTGGATCCCAGAACATGTCAGGGTTTTGTGGAAGCCAGGCTTGACAAGTCACGCTAAACGTAATTCCAAATCAAAGAGAAATGTGTACAGAGCAAAGTCTTAGTTTCTAAACACAGCATTGTTTAATCCTTTTTAGATTAAAAATGATGAAAATACACTGCTGTTGAAAATATATATAATAAATTAGCATGAATGCTTAAAGCTATCACTACAAGGAGAGTCACTTTAGTTATATTTATAGTCTTCAAAATTTCAAGCAGCTTAAACATCCAAGAACTAAAGACTGGTTGAATAAGTTATGTCATGTCTATACATCTGTGTGGCAGAAAATTACATAGATCTTAAAATAGTGCTAAGAACTGGGGCTCCTAGGTGGCTCAGTCGGTTAAGCGTCTGCCTTCGGCTCAGGTCGTGATCCCAGGGTCCTGGCATGGAGCCCCGCATCAGGCTCCCTGCTCAGCAGGGAGTCTGCTTCTCCCTCTCCCTCTGCCTGCCCCTCCCCCTGCTTGTGCTCTCTCTCTGTCAAATAAATAAATAAAATGTTTAAAAAAATAGTGCTAAGAACATTTCAAAACTTATTAGAACATATCTAGGATATATTATTAAATAAGAAAAGTGGATTGTAAAAGAATACTATATTGCTTTTGCAGAAAAGATATACAAACAACCAGAAGGCTATATAATAAAGTGTTAAGTACTAGGAGAATGGAATTGAAGATGAAAGATTCTTTTGTTTTGGGAGGAACGGTTCTAAGTTTCCTAACTTTTCTTAAAACAAGCATGTATGTATGTATATATGTATTTTTATGTAAACTCTACACCCAACATAGGTTGGACCCTGAGATCAAGAGTTGCACACTCTACCAACTGAGCCAGCCAGGCTTTTATGATAATAAATGCATAATGTGCTGCACTTTTTTTTTTTTTTTTTTTAAAGTAAGCTCCATGTCCAGTGTGGAGCCCAATTTGGGGCCTGAACTCACTACCCTGAGATCAAGACCCCAGCCGAAATCAAGAGTCAGAGGCTCAACAGACTGAGCCACCCAGGTGCCCCATAATGTGCTGCATTTTAAAAAGATCTCCCAGACGCTGAGAGGCTGTCTTGGAAAAACCTGGGTGGTACATTAGCCACACCCTCATCCCCTACCAAAGAGAGAGTGTGTTTTACTACAACACAAGATGAGTGGAGAGTGGGGGCAGGGGGGGATATGAGGTTCAATACCATCCCCTGGGGTGTTCTCTGCCTAAGGTTAAGAGAAAAACAAAAACATGGGGCACCTAGGTGGCACAGTGGGTTAAATGCCAACTTCTTGATTTCAGCTCAGGTCGTGATCTCAGGGTCATGAGATGGAGCCATGGGTCAGGCTCTGCACTCAGCATGGAATCTGCTTGGGATTCTCTCTCCCTCTCCCTCTCTCCCTCCTGCTTGTGCTCTCTCTCCCTCTCTCAAATAAATAAATGAATAAATCTATCTTAAAAGAGAGAGAGAGAGAAAACCAAAAATTCCTGTCCATAAATTAGTCAGCTTCTAGAATTGGGTGTCCAAGGAGAGCCACACACCCACACACATAGAAAGTATTACAGAGGCAGGTATCTTTATAAGAGCACATTTGAAGAAAAGGAGCTGAGTAGGTTTGTATAAAAAGCATGTGTGAATCCCACATCTCGAATAGGATGAAATGTTGATTTGAAGGAAGGAATGTTTTGATATATTCAGTTGGTCTCGATAATTTCATGAGGCATGGCAATTCAGAAACAGCATAGGATTTGAAAGTTCAATTATTAATTACACCACACTGTATTTGATCCAAATGGGGTTTAAGACTGCTCATATACAAAGATAAATACAAAAAATTAAGATAAAGATATTAAATATTAAGGCTAGAATTTTTATCATAAGCCACCTATTATATAATCTCGGACAAATTACCTTTTAAAATCTTAGTTTCCTCATCAGCTGAACAGGGATAATGATAATACTTATGTAACAAAGTAACCCATTGCAAATCATGTCTTATTTTTGCCACTGCAGAACCAAGAGAAAGAATTTAATTTCCTCCCAGCTCAGTGAGAGGGAGGGAGTTACAGTCAGATCTAATTTGACTTCAAAACAGTAAGGCAGGTGACATTCTCACAGCTGGGAGCAGTAGAGCAAAATACTTTCCTCCTAGGCTTGGCATAAGGATTCAGTGAAACAATGGACGTCATAATGCTATGTCAATTGTCATGCAATGTTCAGATAGAAATTGTTATTAAAAATTCCACTCATTTCCCACAATACAATAAAAACAAAAACCAGGAGACCTAGGTTCTTATCCCAGTCCCCCCTCTGTCTAGCTGCTGGAATCATGTCTTCCTCATCTGTAAAATGGGAACATACTCTTTGCTTTGCCCTATCTCACAGGTTATTGTGGGCTCAAGTGAGACAGCATATGAGAAAAGTCCAGGGGCACCTGGGTGACACAGTCAGTTAAATGTCTCTTGGTTTCAGCTCAGGTCATGATTTCAGGGTAGAGAGATCGAGCCCCACATCAGGCTCCATGCTCAGCGTGGAGTCTGCTTGTCCCTCTTCCTCTACTCCACACCCCTTCCTGCTCTCTTGCTCTCTCTCATAAATAAAATCTTTTAAAAAGTCCACGGAACGTGTTAGATAAGGGTGATCTATAAGTAAGCCATAAATCAAACTCAGTAATGTATAATGTCACTTTATAGTACAATTCTGTGAGTTCTGAACATGGAACATGGATTAAAACTGATTAGCTGGTTTTATTACAGAAGTAGTATTCATTTAAAACAAAAAATCTGAGCAACCCAGATGTCCATCAACAGTAGAATGGATAAAGAAATGACCATAACATGGAATACTCACAGCAAGAAAAATGAATACACTTTAGTATACACTACATATAGCATTGATAGAGAGAAGCAAAACACAAACAATACACATCATGATTCATTCATATAATGTTGCAAATAGGCAAAATAAACTTGTTTGTTCAGGGAAGGCTGCACACTATTAAAATTATAACAAAAATTAAGGAAATAATTACCACAAAGTCAGATGGGGATTTTCTCTGGTTGGGGAGGGAGGAGATAGTGAAGATATCATCAGGCCAATAGGAAGGACTTTGGTGCTGTTGGCTATGTTAAATTTTCTGTGTGTACGTGCGACTGTATATATATATATTCATGTATATATGTACACTGTAGTCACTTTTCTACACATATATTTCACAATAAAAGACCAACAATAACAAAAATTCAACTAAATTCTGTACAGATTAAGTTATGTCAATAGTGTTCCTTTTTTTGTTTTAAGAACTTTTGCTAAGAGTTTCAGTTCTAATCTCAGATACACCAAACTAAGAGATTACTCAGTTGGGATTTTATTCAAAAAGAAAATATAATCATTAAGCAGGTTATGGTGATTCAAGCTGACTACTGGTCTACTTACTAGTAATTTCTAATTGCTTGGACATTTTCAGGGCCAAATTAAACATTCTACTGTTACCAATAAAAGAAAACTACATGGCTATCATCACCTGGGGATATCTCACACCACCACCCTAAAAGGAAATGCAAAGTTACATCAGTGACTTACCAGCTGGCTGTGTTTGTGCTATTCTCTTTGGGTAAGTCTTGCTTCGACTTCTTGCCACATTCTGATCTGGCCGAGGAAGTTGAATAGAAAGATCTCGACTCATTTGCAATGCTGTCCTGCCACTTGGAAGTGCAACATTTTGGTTAGCACAGATAAAACCACATAGTCGCAAAATTAAACCACGGCTCACTCAGAATATCTACAATGTATGGAGAGGGAAAAAAAGCACAGACTCACGCAGGCCATGGGTCTATAAGGGTTTTCAATGGGTTCTCATTGCAATATTAACCAAGGGCTAATAGGAGAGTCTTAGGTTAGATAGAAGGATGATCTATCAGAAAAACAGGGAGAAATGTATTAAAGGAGTTAGGTTTAGATTTAAGTAGAATGATGAGCTAGAAATAGAGGATGCTGATGGTCTTCCAGCTCTACAACTAAATAATAAATTACATTAGGCTAAAGTAAACAATAGCAATGAGTCTACATGAATCAACATGTCTCTGGGTTGCACTTACACAGCAAGTTGTAAAGCATACCTCCCCCACAGGACCACTTGGTATGATTTTACCCTGAACCCTGCTGTGGCACAATCCACCATTTATTATGCTCACCTCACCTGTACCAGATCAAGTGCCCAGGAAGATTTAGAGCTAGCCTAAAAGCCCACGCAAAGTGCTGCTTCTTAAAGAGTCTGAGAATGCAAGAAGGTGTGCTCTCCTTGGGAATGGACTAACTTTCAAGTAATCTTCCTGAGCAATTGTGCAATTCTGTTTGCTGGATTTCAGTGAACATTCATCTTACTGAAAAATTATTCCACAGCTGCTGAATTTGAGCGAATGAATGACCCTGACTTCCACAGGAAAATATCATTCAGGTACAGGAAAAATGCATTTCTGTATGTTTGGTTTGATTCATCACAAAAAGAGCCATGTATGGGAGGAAAAAGGACTTTTAATGGCTCAAATCTTATTCCTCCTACATTTACAGGATAAATATTAGTAAATCTCTCCCCAAAAGAGATGAGACTCATAAAGCAAAATCACCTCCTACGTGCTTCTGGGCAAGTTTCCCATAGTGATTACCCCAATTACCTTTATTAGAAATAAAAAGATGCGTGAAATACTCATAAAAGTGACTCCTCATCAGGCTAACTGGGGATACCAGTTGGTATGAGCTACCATGGGAATTTAGATGGCAGGTTCTATCCGTGAGCATGCTTCGTGTTCAATAGTTCACAGGAACCAGTCAGAAGGGAGGGGAGAAAACCTGTGACAGATTTTCTTTCACTTGAAATCTAACTTTTTTTTTTTAAGGTAGCATATAAGGTAACACAAGTAGCAACATCTGTCTAAAGAAAAAAAAAAAAAAAAAAAACCCATATTAAGAGCAAAATTCCATTATTATAAATGGTTTGAGGTATAAAGATAAGAGCTACTTACAACAGACTTTCTCTGTTATCAGAAAGATTTGGGTACTGTGTATCTCATTGCAGAGAGGAAGAAATATTTGCCCTAAAAATATAACCCAATATGTGGGCCACAGTGGCATTTTATAATGAGATTTTACTTTATCATTCGATTTTTCCTCATGGTTTCTCTCTCAGGAATAGTGAAGAAATACGAAAATCACATTACAAGATTAATAAAACTATGGTCCAGAAACATAAACTGATCTGTACCAGCATGTACAGGGCTCCTGACCAGAGCAAGCCTTCTGACCTCCAGATGGTTGTGGCCCAGCCTGGTGGCACAGGAGAGAGGGCAGAACACGGAGCCGTCGGGTTTGAAGTGACAAGCCCCGCTTAAAACAAAGCTCCGCTACCATTGTGTGGTCTTCAGCAGATGATTTTTAAAATCTCCCGGAGCCTCATTTTCTTCATTGAAAATATATTTCTACTTATGCAGTCTCCTTCCAAGCAGAAATATTCTTGTACAGTATTCTTACTATTTCCTTGTAGCAGAAAGTATGTGATGAAAATAGAGATTTACAGTGTAAAGTGTGAGAGTTCCTATACATGTCTGGTGGCTCTCGTAGTGCCAGGAAAGAGCTTTTGTCCCCCCATAATCACCCACTTCCCTGCCACCTCACACTCTGGCGCATGCACTCTGCTAGGGAGAGCACAACTGGCAATCAGCGGGGTAAGGGGGAGGGAACAAGTGTAACAAGTGTAAAGACACCTGGGTTCAAATCCCAGCCTTGCCACTTATTGGTTCAAGGTCTTTAGTTCAGTTACTTTATTTGGGGCGGGTGCAGGGGGGTGCTCAAATTTCTCATCTGTATAAATGAGGATACGACACCTCCCTTGGCAGGTCATTACACAGATTAAATAAAGTAACACATTTAAAGCACCTGACACAAAAGAGTTCCTCCTGAGAGCGTGGTCTCTCCCACACTTCAAGAAATGTGGGAAGCCCATGTGATTTCAGTCCTCTAAGAAGGTCACCTGGGTCCCCAGGGGGATTTCTCAGGCCTAATTCTCACTTCTGGATGATAAAGTCTATACAACTCATTCATTCTAACCAGGAGTCACCTACATACTTAACAGGTGAAGGCAAAGTTAGTTTTTGAGGAGCTCAAAGGAGCGCTCAGTGTATAACAAAATATTTCATCAGTACCTATTTCAAATTATTGCTATCTGATAATAAAACAATAACAAAAGAATTAGATTTTGGATTTCAACTCAGTTTACCCACAAATTTTGAATTTTTGAAAGGACTGGCAGTCACAGATCACTAGAAATATCAAATTTTTTCCTTCATAAGAATTCATTTTTCTAAAAGGTGTTGGAATCTTCTTGGTATTCTGCAAGCCCCAAGATGCAGGAAAGAGTGTAAAGGCTAGAACTCTGTCTTCCTCCATTACACACACACCACTAAAAATACATCCACAATTATACACACAGAACACGCAGACACCCACATTCACACACCACAGCCACTTGTCATGCTGTTCTTTATCCCTGATGCTCTGAAGGCCTGCCGGGTAGAGGAGGGGGTTGCCCGTGTTTCCAGCGCTCTGCTTTTATTCTACAGCTTCTCCAGAATGTTTCAAGAAAGGAGTAAGCATATGTTTGTTAAAGGCTGGTTGCTTTTCCTCTTTCAACAATTAACAGTCCATGGGCTGGCAACCACCCAGCAGTCAGAGACCCACCTCTGCGTGAGCCTAGCTCTGGGCAGTGGGCTGAAACATCTTTCTTCCAGGGATGGTGTAATGTTAATACTTCCTACATACAGACATGGAGATTTGGGTTTCATTAAGACTTACTAGGGAGTTAATACCATCCACAAAATTAGAACAGATTTAGCAGAGCTTCCAATTCTGCAAAGGTTACCTTTAATTACATTCTCGGAAGAAATGATATTTAATATGCAAAATCCAATAAGTTTCTAATAATAATTCCCAGTAGCCACAACATTTGCATTTCAATAAATTTGAGAAATCAGGTATGGGTAAATTTGTGGAAACCGACTACAGCATATGTTAAGCAGCATAATTACAACTTTAATAGCATGAACACTGACAGATGCCTTTTCACTAGCTTCATTTTAGTGACAAGGAGATAGATTTACACATTCTCTTGATAACCCTAAAAATGTTTTATGCCCCAACTGGAAAAACAGCCCAAATACTGACTATCAGTTCTTCTCAATATAAAAATTTCCAGCTTCCTAGCTGGGTTACCTTGAAGAGTGACTTGGCCTCTCTGAACCTTAGTTTCCTCACATATTAAGGAGGATAATGTTAAGAAGACTGCAATGATTCAAAGAAGCAGTGATTGGAAAACATTTAGCACAATACATGGCACTTAGTTACTGCTCAGTAAAGTTTAGATATAATTACAGCATTGCTACATGTAGGTTTTATGCAGTAGGGAACATGATTTGATCCACAGTATACAGTACACATTGTGTTACAACAGGGGATCAACTGAATGTCCTAAGAACACCATTCAACTACAATTCAGGATATCTACTTTGTTTCATAATCACAACATAATTAAAAATAAAGTGATAATTGTATTGAAACGAATGTCTGAAGATAATAAGCTTTACTACATTCTAAAAGCCCTAAGCTTAAACCTGAAAGGCTATTTTTTTTGTTTTTTGTTTTCTAGAAATAGGGGAGACAGAGAAAGAGAGAGGAGAGTGGGGAAGGGGCAGAGAGAGAGGGAGAAAAAGAATCCCAAGCAGGCTCCACACCCAGTGTGGAGCCCAAAGAGGGGCTCGATCTCCAGGCCCTGAGATCATGACCTGAGCCGAAATCAAGAGTTAGGACACTTAAGCGACTGTACCACCCAGGCACCCCCGTCAAGAAAGTTTTAATAAACTGTTACACTTTTGAAATTCATGGGCACTGTAGAAAAATTAAAAAAAGATTTAAAGTCATAAACTTTAATGTGCATGTATGTGGACAACTGACCTCAATATGTATTTATTCATACATACACACACCCTTCCCCAAGGAAAAAATGCCATTTACCTATACCGGTGCTTATAACTCATGGATCCAAACTTGCTGAGTTTTCTTGACAATGAATTTGATTCATTTTCTGGCATTCTGATAAATTTTTAAAAAAAAATTAGATAAGGATTCATAAATACTCACACAACACTTGAGCAAAAGCTACGAAGAAAATACAGTGCAACACTGTTTCACAGCTAGTCAAAATATTTTATTTATTCTACATGTTGGCAGGAGATAATTATCAGTTATTTTAAGCTAAAATTTGAAATACAACCACTCTCTAGGATTTTACATACATCAAATACTTTCTCTACTTAAGAATTTTGTCACAAAAGAAAAAAAAAAAGGATTTTGTCACTATGTTGATTTACCCATGCCATGGTTTTCATGGCAGATCTGATGTGGTGTTTCACTGTTCTTTCTATTTCGGGACTTCCCATTCCAGGGTACCTTCGAGAGACACCTTCCATGTGGAGCTCCTTGGCTCAGGCCCCACTGGCCTAGTGGCGATGTCTCAGACCCACTGGGCCACATCCCTCACCTAGTATAAACTCTATGAAGGACACTGGTCACTGTATAAGAATACTTCTCGAACATCATGTTATTTGGGGGAAGTGCTCCATGCACATCAAATAGGAATTAGGGGAAGAATTAATCTAGCTTTAAATTTAAAAGCAAAAAATAAAGCTTAATATGTTACCTGAGAGGATGTGGTTTTATCTTTACACCATAAGGATGTGAAACAAGAAGTGTTGCCACAATCCAAGGGTCTATTCTTTATCCTCATTTCACTTGACCTCCGAGGAGCATGCAACGCAGCTGCCAGCTTCTTATTCACCAGGACATTTTCCTCCCTAGTTCCCACTTTTTCCATACACTTTACTGGCTACTGGCTACTCCTTCTCATACTCCTTCATTGGTTCTTACCACCCTCTAAATGCTGGGAAGACCCCACAGCTCAGTCCTTGGCTATCTGCTTCTCTTTCCTCACTTTTGCCACAGATGACTTCATCCAGTCCTCTGTGCCTTAATTACCCAGTAAGTTTACACGGCCAGCCTTGGTCTTTCCAAGAGGCCTTGTACACCCGACCGCCTACTCCACATCTCTACTTAGATGGCTAACAGGCATTTCAAATTCAGTATGTCCTCAGAACATTTCATTTCCACCAATACCAAAGCTTCACTCTTTATATATACAAAAGTCCTTGACCCTTTCTTGTAGTAGGAAAGAAGAAGGTATCTGTGTGTGTGTGTGTGTGTGTGTGTGTGTGTGTGTTAATATGATCCAGAAAATTAGGTGGCTGAAAAAAATTAACAGAAGAGAAACACTTCTAAATTTCTACTGTAGACAGAAAAGAATTACTGTTATAAAAACAAATCAATTTTCATTAGAACAATGCATAAAACTTTCACATTAACATACCTAAAAAACGTATGATGTTCTACACTGCACTTCCAAAGATGCTTGCAAGCAGTCTTACTTCGAGCTTCAAAAAAGAATGAGGTTTCATTGCACTAAGAGAAAAAAGAGAGAGAACATGAATTACTGACCATAATGTTCTTCAGATGACAGCCACCTTCTAGTTACCAAAAATTCAAGTAAGCAGAGAAATTATTAACACATAAAACAAAAACCAATTATCTCCTGGTAACGATTTTTGG